ACTCAAAACACTTCTGTTTTTGGTGGACAGGACACATCTGGGCAGTTTTTCCACATTGTTGGGTAAGGTGCCATTGTGGTGTAGATGTACTAGAAGAGCTTGACTAAAGGTGCATCCAGCCATGGAGTCCAAGTTGTCAGTTGCAGCCCCACAGGCTTTGCTGTATCCACAGGCTTTGCTGTATTCAATGTACTCAGCTGTTTCTTGATAGCAAGTGGAATGAATTGAATTGGCTAAAGAATGGTTTCTGTGAGAGCGGGGCCTTTAGGAAAAGGTCAAGATTATACCCATTATGGGAAAACCCAAGGGACGGATGCTAGTGATTAGACTTTGTCTTCCAATTTCTCCCTCCAGCACTGTGTTCATCGATCTTGGGAATATCAGAATTGCAAGCGGACTTGCTGTCAACACTGGTAATGCACTTTTTTGTTAGCTGGTCAGCCAGATCTATGTGAAAGCAATGTGTTGTACCAGGAATGAGTCTGGATGATGATGAATTTGATTGTAATTAGTTTGATGAATCAGTTAGTTAGTTTTGATTGCATTAAATATACATTTGATGAATAGATTTTCACTATAGCTATTAAGTGGAGCAGATTTGCTTTTTTCAAAATTTGTTGAAGTCCTCCACTTGGATCGCCAGTGAAGGCCATGAGTTTTAAGTCAGCTGTTGTCCCTTTTGAGCTCTGAGCAGGGAGAAGGGTGTAGTAAGCAACAAGTGCAACTTGGTTTTCAAATTATTTTGTTTGCTGACCGCTTAGACGGGCTAAAGAAGTCTGTGGAACACCTACAAGTTCTACCCCACCCACTTCTGCTTACCATGTGAAAAGAAACTTGTGAATTAATTGGAGAAGTGCTGCTTTTGATAAGACCCCCCAAGCGGCAATACCTGATCCCAAACTGGAAAACTCGACTATCAGCCTGCGTATACGGCTAGTTCCTCTTTGTTTTCAGCCCCATTAGTATTAAAAATCCAAGCTTGCAGTTCAGTGTTGTTGGATGTGCTTCAGAGCTGTGTTTGCAACTTCACAATGCTCAGATCAAATGTATTGAACCAAAAGGCCACTTAACATCTCTTGCTTAAAGTGTGTTTAAATCATTCACCTGATACAAGCTTCATTAGATTGTCAGAAGGGATAGACATCAAACACTTCAGTGTGGCGCATGTTTGCAAATGCATCTTTGCCCTCTTAAATCCCATTTCTGTTCTGTGAAATACTTCCCAAATTGCCACGGGAGGCCTCTTGGTGTTCTTTAAAATTTTCCGATCCATTTATTTCTTCCTTAATGTAAGTGAGACGTGGCTCAGTGTTGTGGAACAGTCAAATTACCAGCATTGAGGTCGGTCACTCTACAATTCCATCTTCATAGACAAAGCTTTTTCTCTATTCTGAACATCACAGATAGTGATTAGCTTTTCCCTGAGAGGTTCAATCGCAATCAGGGTGCTGAACATAGTTCATCAATTCATTAGTTGTAAAAGTCATGAGAAATTATGCTTGTGGTCTGAGAGGTTACATTGTTAATAGTCATTGTTTTGCTGACAGATTTTGATCACTTCATGCAGTTCAAAAGATGTGCGAGTACTTTGTTAGCAACAACCCGCATATGTCAGTATCGCAATCCATACAAGCTTCATAAGTTTGACTTCCCACCTCTTCACACTCTGCTTTAAAAATGCACATGCTTAAGGGCATCATTTGATAAATATTCACAACTATGGACAAGGTAGCGTAGCAGTGATGTCACCAGACAAATAATCCAGAGTCCCAGGCAAATGCTCAAATGATCAGTGGCAGTGACCAAGTTGCCTGGGAAATGAGCACAGAGTCAGCAAGAAGTTCATTCCAGGTAGAGTACGACCCTGCATGTCATTCTGCTTTCAACCAGTCTATTTTAGAACAAGCTAGCTGCTGGGAACATTTTTTCCAAGACAAAGATGATTGACATTCCATGTGCTGGACAAAAGATTTCTAAAACTTTGATAACTGAATTATTGACTATCATTGGCATTGGACCTCTGGGATAACCAGGCTGAGAAGAGAGAGAGTTCCTGGATACAAGACTATAGAGTTTAAAGAATATTAGAACCAGGAGCATTCTGATCTGAAGTGACTGTGCTTAAGATACTATGACACCTGTGTTGAACAGGGAGTCTCCAACCATGGGGTGACTGGTGGAGATTTGTGGGCAACATAGATGAAATTGAGCAGAAAGCCCAAAATATGTTCATCCTTGGACAAATTTTTGATACAGTCCCCAAACCAAGTAATAAATGTTCTGGTTTCTGATGAGTGTCTGACTTGAGTTTTGTGGGTATGTGTATAAGAAAATTTAAATTAATAAGTTCAGTTTAGAATATGTGACTGTTCATGGTACTGTTACTATCACTATGCTATCTTAAACATTCTGCCATAGTTATTGGTATTCATGTTCTTGATTTATGTGTGCTAAAATTCTTTTGTTTTAAATAGTTAAACTCATAGCTATATACTTTTCACAAGTATTGGGTTTTTTCAGATTTCCAAAAACAGTATTTTTGGTCTCTACTAAGGACATAACAGTCTGATGAAGGTTTCTGCTACTGTATGACTCTTCCACATCTTTGCAAACTGTAGTGATATTGTGTATGAAGCCTCTGTTGCTTTTTGTGCCTAAAATGCTAGTGCAACAAAATGCATAGTGTGATTATTGTTGATCAGTTCTTTACACTTTTTGCTTAACAAAGCTCTGAGGAATTTTCAATGTGTTCCTTGTGTCTATATTCAAAATGGTGTTTAAGCTTGGAAGATTTCACTGCTTCATGAGTCAAGGTTCTGTAACACAAACGTCAATAAGGTTTGGCGTGTTCTCTATCACCCATCCAGAAAATTCTCATTTTCAAGCTGTAACTGTTATAGACTCATTATTTGATTAGACCAGATAATTTTGTCCATTGAATCCATGGTGACTCTCTGTAAAACAACCAGTCAGTCTCCTTTCCCTGCTTTCACACCTTGGACCCTTAAGTTTTATAAGACAGCCCTTATGTCAAGTGTCCATCTCTTGAAAGCATTAATTGGTTTGACTTCACCATCTTGGTTGGCCTTTTTATGTTCAAGCTCTTTTGGTCACTCATATTCTTGGTTTGTTTTTGATTTTATTTTGCAATAATTTACTAATAGTCACTTCATTCTTATTCTTCAGTTGCAAAGTAAACAAGTTGTTCATGTCAAATACACCTTCTGCTTCATTATATGCTATGTTTTCCATGTTATGGACAACAGAATCAGTGTCATAGTTCTAATTAAGAAATCACCCATGGTCATTGTCAGTACTGTTTTCCACTTTTTTTGCATTCATGCTATTAAAAATCTTCAGCAGATTAACATTTCTGAATACCAGATTCAAACCAATGTTTGGTATTAACGCTTACAAGATTTTGCAAGAATTATTTTTAAACCAGAGTAGTTGCAAAATGGCTGTCAAGACTTTCAGTTTGCACAAGAAATTCACAACTGTTGAAGCACAGTCAAGAACCAGAACCCAGGTTTGAAACATTTAGTGCAGTCAACTGCAAGCATGAGTGCTGCAAGAATGATGTCTGAACTTAGACCATTAAACCATGCAAGAGAGCAGACCAAATTCCACACTGGTTTTTTCATACACCCAGGTCAGCTTTTGTGTATTCACTTGAGGAATCTATACTTTTTTTTGCAAAATGCAATAAAATTGTGTACTTTTTAAAAATAACATTGATAAATTACCAATAATTGCCAGATGCTAAGGTATAGACATTTCATTATAACCATCAATGCTACAATAATCAACGATAATCTTTTTTTGAAACTTTAATGCTGCACCTTTTTGTTAATTTTGTTTTGGTCACCACAGTTACAATATAAACCCTGCTTATAAATCCGCATTGTTGGTTGCCCTTATGATGACTGCTTGAGGAGATGCAAAGTGGTGGGCATATGGGTTCTGGCTTGATCTCTTGGATGGTCTCGGTTGTGCTTTTGCACATCAGTGGCTTTTATGTTATAGACCAGGGAATGAACCCTTTATAGACCAGGAGAACCACTGGTATAGATTGATGAAACTCTACTTGTGTGGCATTTTGCCAAAAATTTAAGATAGCTGCCTTACTCGCACTTTGGTTCTAACTAGAATTTCTATTACAATGGGCAGACTGTGCTAAATGTAAAACCCTTTATTTTCCTATTTAACTTGCTTCTGTCTGCTACCTTAAAGAGGTCAATTCATGCTTGGGTGTAGATTGCCTTCCAGCGCCCTGCCCAAGTAACGAACCGAGACTGAGAACGTCGATAAGTTAATCAACTATGGGATAAATCAAACCGATTTTTCTCCCCACTTGATGTTCTTGTATATTTCCGGGAGAATTTAGGGAATTAAGATTTGGAGCAGAAATCCTGATGGACTTTTATCTTTTTTAATTTGGTGATGCTTAGGTGAATTGTAATGCTACACCACCAACTAATAGAGCAAGGATTTAAGACCGAAATTGGGCGTCCCTGTGGTCCAGCTGGATGCACCATCAAAAGATATTTGCAGTTTTATGTCTTCATTTTTGTTTCACAGTAATGGCTAGAAACCCATCGAAACAATTATGTTTAATGAGAACTGCTTTATTGATTAATGTAAAGGGCCATCATTGAGTGCTAAAGCATGCTCTTTTTAAATTTGTAAAATCATTGTGAGATTACTAATGCTGTCTTTTTGAAAAATAATCAGTTCTGCTTGTTGGAAGGATTTTGGTAAAGGCTAACAGGAAAAAAAACAATTTGTTTTCTGGAAGAAAGAAACATAAAAAGCATTAGTTCCCTCATTTTCAGAAATTGAGAACTTGAATGAGTATACAGCTGTTCATGTTTTCTTTGTATTTGAAAGCACTTGTGTAGTGAATGCTTTACTTAGGAGTTGCAATCACTGTTTTAGTATTGATTCACTGTTGGTATTAGGTTATGGTAATATTAAAATTATTTTTTCTTTCCCATCAGACATGCCACTTCATGTGAGACGGAGCAGTGATCCTGCACTGATTGGTCTTTTGTCTTCTGTAACGGGACCTAACCTTAATTCAGCAGAGCCATCACGCAAAAACCCTACCCGTTGGTCCACAACACCCGGCTTTCCAAAACCAAGCCAAACATCCAGTAGCCTTGATAGAAAAAAGGTGGGTTCACAGTTTTGTTCTTCAGTCTGTGTTTCCATTTGTATTGCATATTGGGGCACCTGGAAGCACTTTACAGGTAAAGGCATTTTTAAAAAGTGTAGTCACTTCTAAAACTGCACTTTTAAAAGTGTAGTTGGAATTTCAAGATGCAGCAAAGAGATGACATAACTTGATTTTCCTGTACATGCAATTTTCTGGTGAAATTCTAACTAAATGAATTTCATCAGATATATACCCTGTAAAGGGCATTCTCAGTGATCAAGAAGCTAGTGAAATCTAAATTCTCAAAGGACAAGAGAATGAGTGTATAATTTACTTAACCACAGTGGCTGATTTGTACAACTGTGACAATATCACATTGCTTTAAAAATGGTAGCATACTAAATTACTGAGAAAATGCTTTAGTAAAGTGATGCACATTGACCCGTTGATGATAAATATAGTTGTTAAAATATCACTTCACGAATCTTATTTCAGTACTAATAGCTGCCAGTACAGACTCATCCTGTGCAATGTTTTTCCTTCACTTAGTGTTTGCTACTTAAAAATTCGGATGCTATAAATCTACAGCCTTTGTGTCCTACATATTTTAGTTTTGTTTCCAATCCTCTGGCTGAGTCACATTTTATTACAGCAGAAACTGCCCTAATGTCTACGACAGGGGTCTTTTGGGAAAACTCAATATGTAGCCTTGTTCAAACCACATTCTTATGGAGCTACCAATCATTAGCATGCTTTTAAGTGTCTAAAGCTGTGTAGCAGTCAATTGGCTAGGAAACGTCAGAACCACTTGGAAATTTTATAAGACAGCAGTATAAATGATTTGATCATTATCTCAGTGCTGTTAAAATGAAGACACTTATCTGAGGTACCTAGGAGATACTGAAATAGTTGAGATGATTGAGTGTAAACTGCATTACTTGTAAAGGAAATAGGTGTTGTATGGCTTTTAGTTGCTTGTACAACACAATCTGCATAATGGACATATTATAAGAGCATAAGAAATATGAGAAGAAATCAGCTATTTGGCCTTCGAGCCTACTTTACTATTCCAAAAGCTCATGGTTGTTTTTTCATTTACAGTGCTACCTTCAGTTTATCCTGTAGAGTTGTTATTCAATCGAATTTGAAGAGGAGCCTGAGTCTTTTCTTTCCTCTCATGAGGATTCATAGAATTTTGGAAATTACATTATGGAGAGGGGCCACGGAGCCCATCAAACCCATAAATTTTGCATTTTTGCAAATAAAAATGAACAATTGCCTTTGCCCCACCTTCCTTTCACTTTATATTATTCCTTATCAAATATATGATGATCTGCCTCAGATCATAATTAAAAATATTTCATGTTTTTCTTAATGTGCTGCAGAAAAAAATGGTTTTTGACAACTTTATCATTCTTCAATGACAATTCTTATTCTATTCTAAATTTCTTGATTGATTCATCACTCAAGGAAAGACCTTCCATCAGTCCCTCAAAACTTCCATGATTTTGAAAATCCTATTAATTTCTCCTTAATGCTCTTTGTTTATTCAAAAAAAAATTGAATGATGAATTGATTTTGAAGCCTAACTTAGTTGCCAAAACATGCTGAATTATCTACTTTTGTATCATTTCGAGGTCAACAATATCCATCTAATAATAGGTTTGACGTGAATAGCCCATTTGGTAGTTTGCCAGTATATACTAACTGAGTCTCCTGCCTTCTTTCACTGTCCTGTTTACATAGATTGAAAATTGATTGTTTTCAATAATTGCCTGTGAAGCACTGTATATACAGATAAAATATACTTTCTGAAGTGCCCCAAGCCAGCCCAAGAGATCAGATAATTGAATAAAACCCTTTTTTATAGTGTAAAGATGGTAAAACCTGAGTTTGGCTGCAAGTCCTCGCCATGAGGATGATGTTTTGACTTTTTTTGGGCTTCATGGGTCTTGATCCCATTCACGTTGAAAGAAGATTCAGCAAGTGATTGTTATTTTGTTAAATTTGGTGATGGAGAAGATGACTGCAGACTCGACTTTATAACTCAATGTGACAGTGTTTATGAATTTGAAGCAATCGTTAAGAAAATAAACAAATCCGGGTATAAATGAAATGGAAGTCCATTATCAGCACAAATATGTTTGAGTTTAACCAATCATAAACATCCAAAGTACATATTAAATGCCCTTCAGTAGTGGCTTTTTTTTTAGTATGGGGTTGCCTTTAACCTACAGTGCCAGTGTTAGCTCATAGGATATGCCTCAGAGTTATGATATCTTGGATTCACTCTATGTAGACTTGTGTTTATAGTCTTAGCCGACACTTTTCGAATTGTGAAAGGAATGCTGTTTGGTGGAAGTGCCACCTATCGGAATGCCACTTCTCATTGGGGAACTAGAAGAATCCATAAAAAATTCTTAACATAAAAATGAAAGGACTGCGGATGTTGGAATTCAGAAAAAAAAACAAATTGCTGGGAAAACTCAGCATTTGTGGAGAGAAGGTTCTAAAGAAGGGTCACTGGACTCAATGTTAATTATGCTTTCTCTCCACAATACTGCCAGACCTCCTGAGTTTTCCCAGCAATTTCTGTTTTATTTAAAATAAAAACTACTTCCTGTTTTCTCCCAGCTTGCTTGTGGCAAGACATTTGAGGTAAGTCCTTGGTTCTGGGAGATTCCTTGGTAATCCTTGCTGAAGTCTGCAGATCATCTTCAAATTTGATTATCATCATGCTCAATTCAAACGTAAACTTGGGTAGGAAAATGTTCACTACTTCATCAAGAGCAAATTCTAGCTGCTTTATGTAAACTTGCATACCACCAAGTTGTAAATTCAGGTGTATTAATAATAAAAAGGACAGAAAAATAAATGACTTTTATACTGTATACAGATGATAGTGGTACTGATTGAATTGGTTTTAATTAAAAATTAAAGCTTAATCGTTACCTGCTGAAGACAAAATAATTCTCTGACCCTCTATTTGCAAAATTGCACAGAAGGAAACAACTCCGAGGAATCCAGTGAATGGACAGGACAACTACAGGAGTTTACCAAGAGATGCTGGCCATTGGTCAAATCAGTTTCAGCGAGATAATGCCCGATCATCTTTGAGTGCCACTCATCCCATGGTGGACAAATGGCTGGAAAGGCAGGAACAGGTAATTTTAATGAAATCTGCTCCATAGAACTATCAGGCAACTTGATGTGGCAATGAACTGAAAAGCAAAAATCTACAGGCACTGAAGACTTGAAACAAAACTAGAAAGCCAAAAAGCTCAGCTTTGCCAGCATCGGATAATGTGTCAGTAGATTAATGTTTCAGTTGTAGACCCTTCCTTAGAATTTGCATGCTAATATTTACATTTGCATAGATTCAGTCTAAATAGTTACGGCACATGTCTCCTAATCAACTTGTTCAGAAATGTTATTATACACTTCTGGAACAAGTGTGACTGGAATCTGGCTCTCTCAGCTCAAAGGTAGGGACACTACTACTGTGATGCAAGAACCCTAATCTTATCCAGCTGCCTGTGTGAATTGCAGTGCATGTGGCATCGATGGCAAAATTTTCCTGCTACTCTGCTATTAGGTTTGGAATTTTTCTTCTGTATTGTTCCAAGTACTAAAGGTAATGTATTGTTTCTTTTTTAAAAAAAAAAAAAATCTTGTCTTTGTCAGCAACATCCTTCCATTATGTTGGCAGTGTGAGGAAATATCTGGTTTGTAATCTACTTGCTGTGTTTTTCAAATTTCTGCTTCATTCAAAGGCAAACTGTTCATTAATGTCATCCTGTCTAGAGCCCACTGCTAAAGTAATTAAAATCACAGTTCCATTGTACGTGAAGGAAATAGAATGTCTACATAGTCCACTGTGTAGTTTACGATGCTTTTGAGCAAGTGGGTTACATTCACTATTCTTATATTGTAACAACAAAAGACAGTTTCCAAAGCATTGTTGGTAAGATTTCTATTCTGTCAGGCAACAAAAATCTGCACAATTTCATGACATGCAAGGAATGACTGTTTCTGCATGTAGTTTTCTGAAAATGGAATTTTGTGTACAAATTAAAATGAAATAAAACAAATTGAGTGACTTGGATCTGATAAGTTTATCCTAAAAAAAAAAAGAAAGAAAAATAAATGGAATGCTAGCCTCTATATTTAGTGGACTGGAGTACTAGGATGCAGAGGTAATGCTGCAGCTATGCAAAACCCTGGCTAGGCCCCACTTGGAATACTGAGAGAGGATCCGCGCACCACACCATAGGAAGGATGTGTTGGCTTTGAAGGGTGTGCAACATACATTTACAAGAAGGATGACTTAACCCCTAGACCAGGAGTGAGGAGAGATTATCTGTGAAGTAGAAAACAGAGAACAGAGTTAACGTATCGGGTCCGGTGACCCTTCCTCAGTTCTGAGTAAGGGTCACCGGACCCGAAACATTAACTCTGTTTTCTCCTTCACAGATGCTGCCAGACCTGCTGAGCTTTTCCAGCAACTATGTTTTTGCTCCTGATTTACAGCATCCGCAGTTCTTTTGGTTTTTATGTGAGGACAGATTATGCCTGTTTTCTCTAGAATTTAGAAGGGCAAAGGGTGATCTGATTGCAGTCTTTCCATAAGAACAGGCAGGGTAGATAAAGATAAACTATTTCCACTGGTTGGAAATTCTAGAACTAGGGGACATAGTCTGAGAACTAGGGCCGGACCATTTGGGAGAGATGTTAGGGAGCATTTCTATACACAAAGGGTGATAGATGTCTGGAATACTCCTCTGCAAATGACAGTGAATGCTGAATTGGTGTTCATTCTAAATCTGAGGTAGATAAATTTTTCTTAAGTTAAAGTATTGAGGGATATGGGCCAAAGGCAGACGTGTGGACTTGGGCCACAGATCAGCCTTCAACTCATTGAATAATGGAGCTGGCTTGAGGGGCTCTATGGCCTCTGCCTGTCCTTGTTCTCCTGTGTAAATATCATGGTGTCAGTGTCTGTAAGGATTGTTGCTAGACCTGGGAGCATGATGCTTTGGCAGTTGACATTCCAGATTGGATTTCCCTGCCAATACATGCATCAAGGTAGCTGATTCAACTAACTTGCAATATCAAAACCTGGGGCTCTATCCTTTTGCAACCACAATATAACCATGGACACTTTGGGGCTTTGGGTTTTGTATAAAGCTTACAGCTCAACATCAGTCAGTGTTAACCTGTAGTTAGGCTTCACACATCACTGGCTAGCATAAGCCAGTACACAAACACAGCCACATTTCACAGGGCACACTGACCTAACCCTCAGCTCACCCTTTCTTCACACAGTCTTTGAATCCTTGTGTCATCCTGACTATTTGGTTTTCTCAGTGAGGATGCTAGATCTCTGTCTTCATCGCCCCACCAGTGGAAGCAATCTTTTGCAGTTTATCGATAGTACTGTTCTTCGGCCATACTCGGCCATTCCCATCTCGGCACTGTTCCAACTCACCACATGGCTGTTGTTTGGATTCTCATGAAAATGCTGATTCCCACAATTCATTTCCATTCTCTCCTATCCATAAGAACACCAATCCTCACTTTATCTGTGCTGTGCTACTGCTGTTTGCAGATATGCCTCTGACATGTGACAATCCTTAACTTCACTCTCTTGAAACCCTATTTCCCAACTTTCATTTTGCAGTCTTCCTCTCTCACTTAGCCTGTATGCTCCCTGACTGCCCTCCAGGCCACTCATACCATTGCTCAGGGGTATCCCTTTTGCATTATGAGTCTGCCATGTAATCCAAGATGGCAATATGATGGAGGTAAGGGACTGGAAAGCTATGATTTTTCCCTCAGCTCCCAATGTTATTTGAGAAAATGTCCAAAACTGCTAACAACTGCATGTATTTTAGAACCTAGTTACAGCTGCAACCTTGAAGTTAATAAATGTTTTATCATCGGACTAATTCTACTCTATAGTCCTGTAGTCGCATTGTGCGGTAGAGAGAGCGCATAATTGTGCACGTGATAGTACAGTTGCTTATAATTTGTGTATGCATATATTCCGTGTGGTATATTTTAACAGTTTTTTTAAAAAAAAAATCTAATTTGCAAAGCACATGACAGAGTGTGAGGCTTCACCACACACTGTTATGGGTTTTCCACCAAATAATGATGCTTGATCTTTACAGAAATAAGCTGTTGCAGCTGGTTTGCTTAAACTCATTGATAGACTGTCTGGAAACAATGACCCATTTTACTTCCAACTTGAAATTTTTGGGAATCTGTGTGTGTGTTCCTCTGACTGAACTGGATATGTAAAGTTTGGTCTTAGCCAGCTATTGAGCCGTGATGTTTCCGTGCGAATGATTGGCAGTTTGGTGTGGATCCAATGCTTGTGATTTTAAATAATGCATGACAACTGCACACTTTAATGGTTTCAACGTCACTCACTGTCAGTAAACTGCCTTGTACAAATATTTTATTTGGAGATATAGGATGTGTGTATTTTTCCACTTAAAGTATTACCAACTGCCTTTTTGAAGCTGTATGGAGAGAAATAAGCAGTTTCTAGCCTCAAACAATCCTATAGTTATGGTCAAATGTGTCACTAATCTGCATAGAGTACAATTCAGGGGTTCAGTTCGTGTCACTATCAATATGATATTGCTGTTGTCAATAAACCTGATCTAAACCCAAGTGGCTCAGATTAGGTTTATTGACAACACCAGTGTTATTTTGACAGTGACACAAACTCAACTTCTGAGTTGTATTCCAGGCAGCTGTGCAGGTTTTTACTCACATTCAGAACATCTCTTTATTAATTTATTGTATAATGCATAGACTATGTGCTTTTTTATTTATATGTTATAATGGTTGGCACATCTCTGCAGTGCACAACAAAGCCAAGTAGTGGAGGGCACATGCCCCTGGTAGCTTTGCAAAGGTAATTTGTGTAGGGTATTACTGCAATGTTCCTTGTACTGTGTGGCTCTTAAAATTAAATGTCTTCTGGACATGCCCAAGGGAAAGTGCCATTTGAGCAAGTTTTCTGGTTTTTTCTTATTTTAGCTCAATTGATCCGTGTGCACACTTTATTACCCTCAGTGCCATTGGATGAATGGGGCCATGAATGCTGAGAAGTTCACCTTGTTATTAGTAGCATAACAATGTAAATGTTTCTTATTTTGATATTTTAAGGTAAATACTTCAAAATATTCTGTCGGCTGATACAGAATTTTAATTTATTCTCATTTTGTTCAGCACTAACTTATAAAGGTGATGTTACATTGAAAACATACCTAAGCTACAAGATACCCTTACAATATCATTCTGGACAAGTGGCTTTCTCTTTGTCTGTTGCTGGGCAGGCCACATCCTGTTACCACTAGCTAGCGACACTACTGCACCACAAGAGCCCCTCTGGGTTCACTGTATTTTCTTTTCTAATCAACCTGTTCAGAGATATTTCATACCTTTCAATCAGGTTGGACATGAACCTGGCATCTTGGTCCAGAGGGAGGGACGCTACCACTGTGCCAAAAGAGCCCCCTCTGGGTATGCATTTTTTTCTCATTTTTTTCTTTAATACCAAGAAGTGCTATCAAGCACAACTGAGTGACTTTCTCACCACTAAAATCATCATGCTATTTTTCTCCCCCTTCTTTTTAAACTGCTAACTGCCACCAGTAATCACCCATGTAGTCGATTAAATATTTGCCAGCAAATCACATTAGGGGCAATGCAAACCATCGAAGGTAAAAGTTGATAGGGATAGGGGGAAGAGACCAAATTGAAATGGAGTTGGAGGGGTGTAGGTCTGTTTTTTTTTTAAATTTAACTTATTTTTCTAATCAACCTGTTCAGACATCTGGAGCCCAGAGGCCTGGTCCAGGTGTAGGGACACTACCACCACACCGCAAGAGGACCCCTTTAATTCAACACACCTCCAGGGCAGCTGGGACTCACCCAAATGTTTGTATATTTCATCTGCAGGTACAGCTTCCCATATTTTAAGTATGAGGATGTTGAGGTGCGGGGTAGTGCTGTCCAGAGACTTCAGAAGACACCGGACGTTCCTTTCATTTTGTCACTTTACAATCAAATCATTAGTTGTCTTTTATGAATTCAGACTGTAAATCCAGATTCCAAAGTATTCTGGGGCTCAGCAAAATTGTTACTG